ATATATATATACATATATATACATACACATATACATATACACACACACACACGAAAAACTGCCCGAAAATGCGGTGCATCTGCCCCGTCTGTGTCGGCAGAGGTTGTGGGGATCGGAGGGGACACAGGGCCAATACAGCTGCCGGTGCCCAGCAGGGAGGAGAGAAGCTGTCAAAAGGCCCAGCGGTGCCGTACAGTATTTGAGAGCTGTCAGGAGGCAAACATTGAGCGATCAGTACTGATCACATAGTGATTACTATCTCCCCAGTTGTGAATGAACAGAAAGTGCTATACATCACTTCCTGTTCATTTATGAATGGATACTTAGTAAATATTTCCTATCTGCTGACTTGAATAAATGAATGAACAAGAAATAGCTCAGTACAGAGGCTTTCTGTCCATTCATGACTGGGTTGATAGTAAATATCTCCAGATTGTGAATGAACAGGAAACCTCTGTACTGAGAGCTTTCAGTTCATTGAGTGCTGGAGCTGCAGAAAAAGAGATTGAGGACTCTGTGTCTTCAATCTATTTTTCTATTTTCAAAGGGAAATATCAGGGGTCTAAGCCTCTAACAGTAAAGTTTAAAAAAAAATCAAAATGAAAATTTGTTTTTTTTTTTAAGGATTGGGGGAAAAAACATTACTGCCGAGATCCACCCAGCTGCATGATTGACAGCTGGCTCTGCCTATCTAGAGGCAGAGCCAGCTGTACCTTCCCCCTCCCCCGTCCGTTCCGCCAGTCAGCGCTGGAGGATGGGAGCGGGGATTTCCTGCAGGGAGCCGTGACAGTCACGGCTCTCTGCAGGGACATGATCGAGAAGTGAGCGAGCGACGGTATGTGTTCGCTCACTTCCCGATCTATTGAGCCGACGTGTGACAGTTTCATTGTCACACATCGGCTCGAACTATGAGGCTGACCTCATAGTTCTCCTTTAACATGTATACTACACTGTAATTAAAGAGTCCGAACAAAACCTTCTTTTATAACATGGTGTGGAAAAATAAAATGAATAGCAGTCATACAAGCAACAGATTTATACTGCATGAGGTTCTCATAACAGAACTGGGAAAATGAACGCTTGGATCACACTTCCCATGTTCATTGCTGCAGTCCTCAGAATCAGCTTCTGAGTTCTCGTTCACTTACCAGTCTTTCAATGTGACCTCTGTGATTCCTTCTCCAATGTCTGACAAATTGAACTGTACAATCTGACCATTCAATGCTGTAAAAACACAAACACATCATCGCCAGTTTTGTGAGTACAAATAACGAATTCAGTGCACATACATTAAAAAGCAATCCGAGTCCGAGAGAAGGAAGCAGGCATGAGCAGATCTTTTAAACTTACTAACAAGAATACGCTTTGCATTTATAACCATCTGTGCCTCTCATATTTTAAAGTAAAACAAGCTCTTTTATTATAGACAATCCAAGCACGTTTGTAAACATTTCCCTTTACTGTTATTAAAGTGATATTAAAGTCTAAAGGTTTGTAAGCTATTTCAAATGCTGATGAAATCACTTACAATGGATGCTGCTTCTTGATGTTTAAACGTTTTAGCTTCCTTCAGAATCAGCTGGTCCCCTGAACACTGATCCTGATGTCCTGTTTTAGGGTGGCTCCTTTCCCTTGCCAGATCCTATCTTTAAATCCTATTTCCACCTTAGTAGAGGTATTTTTTAATGTTTTAAAAATACATGCCAGCAATGAACACTGAGTGTACATGAAGCAGGCATATGCAGTTGATGTACTGTATATAAAAAAAGAACTTAAATTTTTTTTAGCTTTGCTCTTCATATTCTCATGGAAATGGCTGCCTTTGTGTTGTGCAAGCAATGTGCGCCCCCCCTCCCTGGACAGTGTATTGTGTGTAAAGGCAGAGCTGGTGTTTAGTGATTGTGTTAGAATGGGTGACAGGGAGGGGGGTCAGCTGCTTACAGTCTAATAAGGAAAGCCTGCAATGTGAGTCATGAAAATGTGCACATGTATTCATCATCACTGCACCTCTTCGTTCCCACAATACATGCTAATCACTTACAAAAGTGGAATTGGACTTTAACCGCTTCAGGACGGCCGTCGTCAAAATAAGTCATGTCCTGAAGCGGTTACACCAAGAACACGGCTGCTGGTGCAGCCATGTTCTTGGCATAATTTTAAACAACTGGCAATTTCTGTTTAGATGTCCCCCGCCAGCTTCTCCGGGCTCTGCTGTTCCCTGTGTGAGCCCGGGACCGGCACATTTGGTCTCCCCTAACAGATCGGAGGTAGATCAGCAAGCTTCCAGCTGCTGATCTCACCTCTGATCACTGGACCCGGAAGTGATGTGTATTACATCATCACTTCCGGTGTCACTGTGCACATTCTCTGCCTCTTAAAACCAGGAGAAGAAGCTAGTGAAGCAGATCTATGCTACATCAGCTTCTTTGGGGTCCCCAGGTGACATTAGGGGTCTGAAAAATGCTGTTAAATGCTGTTAAAGTCCCCCACGTGCACGCACATAGAATGCAAACACGCGTCTGGTGCGCTAACATGCAATAATAAAAATTGCGCCACACATGTTACATATCGCCGCGAACGTCGCAGTGAGAGCAATAATTCTAGGGCCATCAATCACTGGTAACACTAAACTGATGAGCAGTAAACGCTTTTAAAGCGTCACCTATGGGATATTTGGGGTATTGTAGTTTTCTGCGGCTTCACGGGCGAATGCAATTTTAAGGCTTGACATGTTTGGTATCTATTTTCCCGGCGTGACCCCGTCTTTTATATTTTACCAAAAAATTGGGTATTATATTCTGTTTCCGTTTTCTATCCTAAAAATACTGGTTTGATAAAGATTTGCGCAAATCCCGTGCGACATAAAAAATTGCAACTAGCATTTTTTTTTATTCTACAGGGCCTCTGCTTTCAGAAAATATATAATTGTTTGAGGTTTGAAACTGTTTTCTAGCCAAAAAGTCAGATTTCATCATGCGTTAAGAAATTGCTCCGGGCAGCAAGTGGTTATTGTGATGACATGGTCACTATGCCCTGTGAATATGCACAGCTGTTTCAACAATTTCAAAGCTCGTCATCTAAACGACAGAGGTGATGGAGAGCAGAGATTTCAGAAGGCACAGGCAATACAGGAAACACACCACATGTGACATCATCACTGCTTGCAGGCAGCAATGCAATACGGGATATGAACTCCTTAGAAAGTAAACCACATGCAGGGAATTCAGGAAGTTGTTGAAAGAGATGTACAGCAAATATCGCTCACAACATGAAAGGAGATCTACGTTAGCTTATATTTTGTCAAAAATCATCATAGCTTGTATTGCTATTACAATGCTGATGTTATAAAAGGAAAGTGTATGTTGTGACATTAGATCTCCTTTAATATCATTAGTAGCTCACTGATTCACTGTTTACATGCAATGGTTCTTTGTTCCACTGTCAAACAACTTTGTGGTAACATAACCCAGTAACCTGCAGCAGCCTGTAGTTCCTCATCGCCACCCAATGCCCAAATCCTGGGCTGGCCTGGTTAGGCAAAGCTCTGGAGCTCCCTGGTAGTGTCAAAAGCTTGCCCCTTTCCTCCCAGGCTTCTGCAAGTGTGTCCAGTGGGGCTGCAACTAACGATTATTTTCATCATCGATTAGTTGGCCGATTATTTTTTAGATTAATGTAAAATGATACACACAAATGCAGTTACAAACATAACGTTTATTTCAGAATAAAACGGCATGAACAATTTTTTGCACTCGCACCGAACTGGAACGCATGTCTTTGCAGTACTGCGGGTTCCAGTGCAGGTGATCGCACTGCGGGCAGGAGGGAGGTTTGTGATGCCACTATATAAAAGGTATTGCCGCGTGCCGTGTGAGCAATAATTTTCGGGACAATATTCGTATATCATACATGAATATTGGGCCGAGAATTATTGCTCTCACTCCGGCGCACGCGGTAATACCTGACATGTGTAGCACAATCGTCAATTTTCTACTTTGGTGCACGCGTGTTTCCATTAGTATGCGCGCGTTCGCGGAGTTGGGGGGTAGTTTGAATTTTATTCAACTTTATTTTTTTGCCTCATTGCTATTACATGGGGGGAGGGGGGCTCACAAGCCCCCTATGTGATAGCACACTGGAGGTGACAGATTAGGGGTCTTTTAGACCCCTAGTGTCACCTTCCCACTTCACTGGGGAGTGACAGCTGCCTGCTGAATGTCACCACAGCAGGCAGTGGCTTGGAGCAATAGCCAGCCTGTTATTGGCTATTTCAAATCAGCAGAGGAGGGAAATTAAGGAGAAAATTATCTTCCTCTGGTGATTAACAGCAGGCAGTGTGCGGAGCAGACTGGCTATTGCTTTTGGCCGCTGGATGGGAGACTTGGCGCTGGCTTTCTACCGCCGGCAAAAGAGCCGGGCACGGGGGGAGCGGAGGAAGAAGGGGGGGCACAGCGGCAGAGGAAGAAGGGGGCACGGCAGCGGAGGAAGAAGGGGGCACGGCAGGAGGAATGCAGAAGCACAGCGGTCTCAACTAATTGTAATCATCTAATTGATAATGCGAATCGTTGACAACAATTCTCATTATCAATTACCATCGTTTAAATTAGATTAGTTGTTGTAGCCGTAATGTCCAATACAAGTGTTTGCATAGGAGGGATTCCATCAATACATTTATAAGGGACAAGTAACTGTAGAATGAGATGACACCCCTTTGGAAAGCCTCATAATCAATCTGGCCCAGCTAGAAGTGATGTTTAAAGCTTTACAAATGGGGTTCTGGATGCTTACCTGAAATAGTTCTGAAGTACCTGAGCTGTGAAGTTTGCAGATTTAAAGAATTAGGTTGTTTCCATGCTTTTATCAGCAAAAACCGGTTACATGAGGTCAGCTGCCTAAGACTGGCCTGGGGGGAAATAGGAGCAGAAGAGCAATCAGTGGTAAAGCATGATCAATACAAGGTTCAAAAAAAATGTCATCTTCCACAGGCTCATTCCCCAGCATATTGCAACGCATGCAAATTTCAGGGTAATGCAGGAAGTCATGCTTTCAAAAGTGCAATTATCCTTTCAGTGATCAGCAGTTATGGTCAGTGTAACGTTACTGGTTATCACAGGAGGATAGTTGCACAAATTTCATGAACTGCTCTAAATACACATTGATAAAGTTAATTTTGCACCTTTATAAAGTTCTTATTAAAGATTGCACACAGGAGCACTAATTTTGTTTGCCTACACATTTTATATTTTTATGGGTCTTATACATACAGCATAGTATTTTCTGATGTTAATTTTACTTACTTTATCTATCACTTAAATAGGAGCACCGTGTTCCAGCAATTGACGTGTAATACTTACCTTATCCCTCGCTCTAGCAGGCTCCATGCCTTTGTGCAAATGGACCCCCAAAGCCTCTTCTCCAAGACGCTCTGGCCGCTGGTTGCACATTGACGTCAAGTACAATGCAGGACCAATAGCCCGGCATTGTACGCGAGGACAGTGGATGACCACTTACCATCCTGAGCACCAGGGAAAAGAGCAGGGTGCGGAAGCATATCTGTAATAAATTAAACAAGGCAACTGGACTTGCTGTATTTATTTTCTAGAATATGTTTTGCTGGTCATCCGACTAGCTTTCTCAATTCACAATTTGTATTTAGAAAGCTAGTCAGATGACCAGCAAAAAGTCTTGAAGAAACTAAATACAGCAAGTCCAGTTGCCTTGATTTATTTTTTACAGATATAACATGACCTGGATGAACGAGAACTTTCACAGACAGGGTGTTGAAGCCTCCTGCAGTAGGGTTATCATATCTTTTTCCCCCCTAGCCAAAAACTAGCATTTAACCTCTGTAATGTGTATGGTGACCCTTAGCAATACAGTATCAGGTGATCTCATTCTTCACCACTATACCCAAATCTAAAGAAAACACACGTTCGGCCTTTAGTTCTAATCTATGGAGCAGATCAGTCCATTCCAATATGTAGTCCAGTGACAGCAGACTGGCACATTCTGCTTATTACAAAGGGCAGGACAGTGTCACTGTCACCTTTACCCTGCAAAGACTTTCACAGACTTGACTGGCATTAATCCCCAGGGTGCCACACCGGGTTCACACCTCGCTCACAATACCATTCTACAGCTTTTCTCACCAGACGGACGAATGACCGGCTGCAGCCCCTCAGTGCTCTCACAGCCGCCATGTTCACCGGAAGAGCCCGGAAAACCAATCGTGTCAGAGAGCTCCTGCTCTCGTCCAATCAGAAAACGAAAGCCAAGACAACTGTGTCAATGCCAAGGAGATAGGGGAGGGAGAGGGGTGTGAGGACCTGACATCCAATCAGAGCTGGTATACTCTCTGCCTAGCTGTCACAGAAAGGGGTGGAGCGGCAGACCAGGTGACCAAAACTGCAGGTGACGCCCTCTATTTAACATGTCGCTATCAAGGTAAACAGCCATTTTTTTGGTTAATAATAGATCTAAAGACCGCGATTAAAATGACAGATTACATTTAAGGAGGCTTTTACATGGAATATGTCGAGATTGTTACTGGTACCCATATCAATGTAAAATACAGGTCTGGCTAAAACGCATCTAATTCGACTAGTAGTTCTTTATGTTATACACATTGGTGTACTATGTTCGTATTTCTTAGCGAATCCACTTTAAATGTCGTTCAATGAAAACATGTTTTAGCACACAAGAAGACTGCAGAACACAGATTTCCTCTGGCAGGGCCAGGGTTAAAGGACTGACAGGAAGGGGCGGGGCACAGGGTGGCAGGAGCCGGCAGAAAGAACTTCAACACATTGGACGTGCTGGGCTGCTTGTGTGCTGCTGACCAGTTGGTGGGTGATGGATAA